GGGGAGGCAGAGCGACTGGGGCGGGGGGTTTGGCCGGGGGCTGGCGCGCAGTGATGACGCCGAGGCTTTGTACCTGGGGCTTGGAGGCGGTGGGACGGACCCCCGGCAGCTCCGAGTCCCTCGCGCCGCGGGGCTGCGGAGTCAATCTGGCTCCAGTGACTGGTTATCTGCGCCTTCGCGCGGGCGCTCCGCCAGGGGAGAGAGTTATCTGGGACGTGAATGCTTCCGTCCTGCCCTCTCCTGCCTTCGGGAGCCTGCAGTTCGGAGGTGCCGGCTCCAGTAATGGGGGCTCTGGTGCCGCGTCGCCCCCGGGACGCGAGCGGAGCGAGAGGCGGAGGAGAGCAGATGCTGAGCGGCAGGGTCTTCCCAGAGCGTGTGTGTGGCCGATGGGGGGGCTGTAAAGAAGGGTCCCCTGGATCTTTGGTTTCTGTTCTTCAAGCACTCATTTATATTTCTGACTGCAGAGTTTGGGGGGGAGGAGGTTCATGATCCCTTTTCTTTTTTTTTTTTTTTTTAAAATCTTTGTTATGCTTTTTTCCAAACTGTGGAAAATTGAAGAAGCCTTACCGTGTTCAAGAATCAAAATTTGTCCTGTTATCGTCATATACCATGAACACAGTGTCTATGGGCCAGAAACGTGAAGTGTGTGTTTGGTAACCAGTGNGAAAATTGAAGAAGCCTTACCGTGTTCAAGAATCAAAATCTGTCCTGTTATCGTCATATACCATGAACACAGTGTCTATGGGCCAGAAACGTGAAGTGTGTGTTTGGTAACCAGTGAAAAGTGCTCTGATTTTTAGGAAATTAAAAAGAAATGCTTTTGAAATGCCTTTCTTTCTTCCTCCTGCAGTTAAGGACATTCAGACAAGCTCTCTGTTATTTCTCAGAAAGAACTTTTTTTTTTTTTTAAGGGAGGTTTACTTTTGTCCCCTCCAATCTGGCTTGAATAAAGGCCAGTAAAAGGAGATTTTGTAATCAAATCAGATTTTGAGTGTTCTGTTAATTATGAATAAAAGCAGATGTTACTTCTATCCTCGTAAGGTGATCTTCTCGCATGTCAGTATTTCACTTTTCATTTTTGTCCGAAAATGGGTATCTTTATCAATTTTTGGTCAGAGTGAGTTAAATTCAGAACAGTCTTTAGTTAGTGAGAAATTATTAGTATGTACACATAAAACACACTGTTTTTACATAACTGATATTAGAACTAGGAAACCTGTGTTATTTTGACAGGTACACAAATAAAGGATAAAGTATCTTATGAAACAGATCTTCAATCAAGTGTAACATTTTGATGCTTGGCAGTTAGACTTCTTGTACCCTCACTATGCCAGCAGCAACGGTAGATCATAGCCAAAGAATTTGTGAAGTTTGGGCTTGCAACCTGGATGAAGAGATGAAGAAAATTCGTCAAGTTATTCGAAAATATAATTATGTTGCTATGGTATGCCTATGATCAAATATCCTTAAACTGCTTCTTATAAAAGGGGAAGAGAGATTTTAAAAGTCTTGAATTCAACCATTCTGGTTGATTTTTTTTTTTTTAGGGATTAATTTAACTATGAAAAGAAAGTGTTGTCAGTGTCCTCCAACCAAAGAGCAGCGGAAACATACCAGCAATGTGACAAATTGGGTTTATTATTGGAGTGAGGGAAAATGCATACCATTGGAGGAGACTTGTATCAGTTGGTTTTAGGTAGGGATTAAGGAAGCAGAGCTTTGTGGGAAGCTGGGGTAATTCTATGATAGGGTACCTTAATAAAGTCTTTTTTTTTTTTAATTGATTTTTAGAGAGAGAAAAAGTAAAGGAGGGAGGTGGGGAGAGAGAGAAACATGGATTTGTTGTTCCACTTATTTATGCATTCATTTGTTGCTGCTTGTATGTGCTCTGACCGGAGATTGAACCTGCAGCCTTGGCATAGCTGGACGACCCTAACCAACTGAGCTACCCAGCCAGGGCAATAAGTCTTAACTAGAGTGAAAGAAGACTAGAGTAAGTCCAAAGCTGTAAAGAAGCAACAGTCAGTCATTAACCAAGATAGAAGGATGTTTGGTCATTTTCGTGGTTTGGACAGTGTGTCTTTGTGTTTAGTCATGCTTACGGAGTGGCCTTGTCTGATAATGAAGTGTGAAGTTGTTTATATTCAACGGAAGAACATTAGGACCTAGCAATAAGTGCCAGGTCAGCCCCTGGCAGTACTAAGGCAGATAATACGGGATGGGCTCCTGGATGTCTTTCTCAAACAAAAATCAGATCTCCCAGTGAAACATTGTTGATCTGCGGTTTTGTTTTTAATTCTTTTAAAAACTAACACACTGTGCTGTTAAGCATCTCTGCTTTTGCATATGCTACCTAGCCTGCCTCGGCTGTCTTAATTATCTTGCTTCTCTGCTGCTCTTTCCTGTACATCTGTTACAGCTAGCTACTCTCCGGTTTTCCAGATAATTAGCTTTTTTAAAAAATATATATCTCTATTGATTTCAAAGAGAGGAAAGGAGAGGGAGTGAGATAGAAACATCAATGATGAGAGAGTCATTGATCAGCTGCCTCCTGCACGCCCCCGACTGGGGATCCAGCCCGCAACCCGGGCATGTGCCCTGACTGGGAATCAAACCCCGGTCACCTGGATCCTAGGTCAATGCTCAACCGCTGAGCCACATCCGGCTGGGCCAAATAATTAGCTTTGTGAAGCAAGGGGTAGTGCCTGACAGTCCTTGGTCCTCTAACACCTAGCGTAGCACAGCACATCCAGTAAAGGTATTGAGTTGGATGAATTTAGAGAAGTTGTCATTTCTTGACTTTTTATAATGACTTGCTATTTAAATTTTGTTCTTGGCTTCCTAATTTGAATTTTAATACTAAACTGATGTGTCATTTTCTCAGTATTTTTTAATACAAATAAATACACTTCTATGGGGAGGAGGAAGTTGATTGGTTAAAATATGAGTATTTGAGTATATGTAGATAATGTTCTATTTTAAAAAGGTGTACTTATAGAATTGAAGTTTTTTTATCCAATTGAAATTACTGGTGGTCATTTATTTCTCAGGTGATAAGGAGTGACAGCATTAGAGACGAGATAACATCCTACATGAGTGTGTAGTGGCATGCAATTTTTGATGACATGCTTTCTCTGGAGTATAGAGAGAGTGCTGCTTTAGCTCAAGAAAGTAGGAGGGTTTCATGTTTAAATAAACCTTGCCTGAGAAAAGTGATTGGAAAGTATGATGCATTTTCTACTTTTTCCAGTTCTCAATTGATTTTAACATTGGGATAACATAGTTTCACATACCTCTTGAGAAACATCAGTTTATGATTTTTTTCACCTTCCTTAGGAATAGAGTACTTGGTTGCATTTATCATACTATAGATAAGTAATGTTTTACTGACGTGATATTTAAAGTGAGGAAGACTCATTAAGGTTATAGAGTTTCATTTTTATGGTTCCAAAAGTAATGTTCTTTTTTGTTAAAAGGTACTTTGTAATGGAATACGAGTGTGTATAATGTCATCTATAACAGGATTCTTTGATTTGCACCAAAAATTGCTTATTTATTCTATGAATTTGTGGACTGTGGTTTTTAGTAAATAATGAATTTTTAAACTATTTTACAGGACACCGAGTTTCCAGGTGTGGTTGCAAGACCTATTGGAGAATTCAGGAGCAATGCTGACTATCAGTACCAACTATTGCGGTGTAATGTAGACTTGTTAAAGATAATTCAGCTAGGACTGACATTTATGAATGAGCAAGGAGAATACCCTCCAGGAACTTCAACTTGGCAGTTTAATTTTAAATTTAATTTGACGTAAGTGGGAAGTAAATATAACCTGAACTTTTTTTTTTTTTCAGTTTGATTTTTGGAATTGATTTTCCTCAAGGATAGTAAATGAAATTCTAAGTGAATATGGCATAGTTATCCTGGAAATAATTAAAACCTAAAATTTCAAAGATTAGATTTGTTTATATATTATAGGACTAAAAAAATTTTTAGAAATGTTATGTGAAAAGTATGACTGCCAATTTTTTGAAATTTGGAAAACTTTGTGTATTGAAAATACTTCTTAATAGAAAAAAATAACTAGAACATTAGTTTCACTTTCAGACTGTCATCAATTTGAAATATATACATCTTTGTTGTAATAGTTGTGCTTCTTGTGAAGAGATTTTTGTTACAGTCATATTCCAGTTTATGAGTAGATTGTATGTCAAGGGTGGTAAGATATTTCTTGGAAACTTGGGTGCATTTTCCTGTCAAATCAATGTTATATAATGGTTGTATTCCCAGGTCAGCCCACAAAACCTCTTATAACTTACATATAGGAGAAGTAATAGTGTCCTTTAACCTGGCGTTTCTTTCAGAAACAGTTCAGAATCTGGCAGGCTGTCTCCAGAATCTGAATACTAACTCAAGCCATGGGTAGAAACCCAGGTTCTGTCTCTGTCACTGGTAGGAGTAGTCTTGATGGCTCATGGAAACTCACATTGTTTGGGCCAAGAGCAGATTGTTTACAAACTGACTGTAAGTTGGAGAAATGTTTCATACATTCAAAGTATGTTCCAGTACAGTATTGCAATGTCCTGTTCCATAGCCTGTACTTGTATAATACAGTGTAACATCTGATTTGAAAAATAGTAAAAGAATACATGGGACAATTGATGGTAGTGCCAGTGTATGAACCTCCCATTCTCTAGAGAATGTGAAACTTAGCATATAAGATTTAAGGAGAAGCAGGGCTGACAATTTTAGAGCGCAGTGTTGTCAGTGTTGCAATAGTCAGGCTTGTAATTGATTGTGTTTAGCCTGACTCCCTGTTTGACTCTCTTGGATTTAAATGTACCCTCCGGAACCTTGTAAAGGGTACAGAAATACTTGTCTCTATTCAAACTGAAAATAGCCTTCTGTACATCTTGTAGTTCCGAAACATGGAAAATGCCTTTGTACCCTTGTCCCAAAGGAACTCCTTTAAAATCATTTCTTTACCATTTCATTCGTTCCATGTTACTTTTTCCCTAAACTGGACATTATTAGAACATTGTCTTTAAGATACTGTTGTGATCTCAGCGCACGAGTTAGAAGGTGACCCATCAGTGTCTCAGTTTTGGTAAAAAAGACTTTTTCCTTAACTAGAAACATCTTTGTTCTGATATAACTGCTTTGTTATTACAGTTTCTGAAAGGCATTTTTCTTATACAGAGAGGGCTACTGTACATTTGCTATGCCAAATTTTGCCTCCATTTCTACTAATGTTAATGTCTTAGAGATGTTGAAGGAGAAGGGTATAGTGAAAAATATTATTTAAGTAGAAAAGTCAGTTGGACAATAAAACCAGTACTATCTAATGTGGAAACAGAGCCCTGTGAACAGAATCTTGGATATTTTGAAGAAATGTGAAAATTCCCTCTTTATTTTGTGTCTAGAATGAATGTGTCAGCAGCTGTGCTAGGCACCAGGGATATTGAATTGAGGACAGTTGGTTGTGGTCATTTTAACTAGTGTACCCATAACTCTTCTGTCTGCTGCCTATAACTAAAGTCCAAGAATGAGAATTGTTAGGTACTGATCGACATACAAGAATTCTCTCCAGACTGAATTTGGAGTTGATATATACATGAAAGTTGAAGTGGGATATTGATGAGCTGTGAAAGAAAGCCATGGACAGAATTACACTAACAAGTCAAAAGAGATTAGAATGAATTTTTTATAAAGAGGCATCAATTTGATAATGACAGTAATTCTTGCTATTTAAGAGAATCATTTGTACAGTGTAGTAGAGATTACAGGGGCCCATGGCTTCAGTGGTAACAAAAAAGGAAGACTTCATTTAAGGAAAATGCAAGTGCAAAGGAGAGAGTGCCATAAGTAGAAGGGAAACAGAAACAAAGGGAAACAGAAAAGGTGGCTTTTATTTGTTACTGGTAATGCACAGGCACTTGAAGGTTGAAGAACAGTTGTCAGTTACGGAGTTGCTGGCTGTTTATGTTATCGTTCACAGCCTTTGCAGATTTGGGGGGCATCTTTGTGTTCTTACCAGTTTGAGTTCATTAAATACTACGTTTAGTAATCTGCATTTGTGACAATCTATAGTCCACTTGCCTCTTACGATTTTCAGCATCAATTGAAATATATAGGAGTTTGCAATTTTTTTTTTTTTTAAATATATCTTTATTGATTTCAGAGAGAGAAAGGGAGAGGGAGAGAGTTGAAACATCAGTGATGAGTCATTGATCAGCTGTCTCCTGCACGCCCCCCACTGAGGATCGAGCTTGCAACCTGGGCATGTGCCCTGACTGGGAATCGAACCTAGATCTCCTGGATCCTAGGTCAATGTTCAACCGCTGAGCCATGCCCAGCTGGGCAGGAGTTTGCATTTTTAAACATGTTAAATGTGTGCTGAGCCAGGAGTGTATTGAAATGGAAGGTGTTTGTAAAATCTCTAATCTGCATGTTTAAAAATGTGCATTTGTGCAGTAGGTTAAGTTTGTATTTGCTGGTAGAGGCAATTTCAAAACATTTACTGAATTTAGCATACCTAGTTGAGTTAGTTTCTGACTTTAAGATATTACTGAAGATGGACAGCCTTGTATCTGCTTTTTTAGAAAACCTTTTTTAGAGCTTTGTACATGGCTTTCATTTCTGTTCAGTTGTCAGAACTGGGAATTTTGTGACCATCAACTTCAGTAGTTGATTGGAGTTAGGAGTGATCACATTACGGTATGCTGCTATTCTGAACAGATCTAATCAGTAAGACAGCTTTTGCACCTACAGCAATTCTAATATATAAACAGTATTTTACTTTGAGATTAGTATAATTTAATATTTTTCTAAATTTGCTAGGATTTTTGAGAGGGGGGAAGGCAGGTTGGAATGATTTCAGAACTTGAAATGGACACCATGGAAAAGGGACATTCTGTTGATTTAGAGAATCAAGTCATAGTGATTATGGAGTTTCCCTTACCCCACGCATTTTTTTTTTTTTTTTT